AATAGCTGAGAGACAGGCGAAACAAAGGACCCGCATGGTGTGGTGGTGAACGCGTTACTCGCTGGAAAGGACAATAGCGCGTTCGTTCCCCACCATAGACACCTGCGGTCCAGAGTTTTGCAAATATCTCAACAACGTTGTGGTTGTATTTCGCTTAGTACCCTGCCGCGAAATTATAGTAGGCGGAAAATAAAAAGGTATAACATTATTAACACATTAATATTCTCAATCACTGAGCTGACACGAGGTTGCTATAAAAACTTTTATTCGGCTAACGTTTCGGCGCCTTCGCCTTCCTCGGAGCCGTGCTGATCCGTGTCAATGGTCTACAGCTGGTCGCTGTCGCATCGAGTCGAATCCAATGGGAGAAGCACCGCTCGAATAGGGAGACGGGTGGTAATCGATTTCCGCCTCCAGTATGATCTGCTTTCTTCTGGCAATGAATGCTACAGCAGTCCGTATCTCATTTGCTGGAATGCGAACAATATCTTAAGAGGATTTTGAGATACATGAAAAGGCACTGCCATGTAAAGTTTCCCATTCAAGCGCGGCTTTCTATTTGGCTCGATACAACGACCAGCTGTGAATCATCAACTCGGATCGACGCAGATTTCAGGCAGGTGAAAGCGCCGATACGTTAGCCGGATATAAGTTTTTGTGTCGTTTTCTTGCTCAGCAATCGCGAGGTTTTTAAACAGCATACATTTACTTCCATAAAAACACAATACAATACAACGCTAGCTGACGTTTCGGCAGTATCGCCTTCTTCAGAGCCTGGAAGGGTATACTGATATACAATCTACTAGGCCAAACGCTTCAATAACACTTACAAAAAGACGAAAAAGCGGTGGGTTTTTTCGAGAAGTTGTTGATTGTGTAATTACCGGAGAGTTCTTCGTCTTTTTGTAAGTGTTATTGAAGCGTTTGGCCTAGTAGATTGTATATCAGTATACCCTTCCAGGCTCTGAAGAAGGCGATACTGCCGAAACGTCAGCTAGCGTTGTATTGTATTGTGTTTTTATGGAAGTAAATGTATGCTGTTTAAAAACCTCGCGATTGCTGAGCAAGAAAACGACACATTCATATTCCAATGCCGAGGTTAAGAGAAAGTCGATCTTGGGAACTATAAGTTTTTGTAACAACTTCGTGTTAGCTACGAAGTGCTGTTGATTACTGCTACGAAGGTTTAATAAAAGTTGGTTTTTAAAATATTAATCCACTGCTCAGTGTCAATAAAGGGACACAGAAGTGAGCAGTGGTTGAACACTTGAATGACTTGTCTTCATGAATCTCAAGGAGTCACGCCAAGCCTTAGCACAAGTTCCATACGCTTGGTAATTAGCCCGATGAGTGAAGATTTCTCTCTATATATAACTTCAACGATGCTGAGATATTTGCAAAACTCCGGACCGCAGGTGTATGCGGTTTGGAACGAACACGCGCTGTTGTCCTTACCGGGAAGCAGCGCACTTCACCACCACACCATCCGGGTCCTTCGTTTTGTCTGTCTCTCAGCTAGTTCTATCGATCTTTTACCATCAGCAATCACCCGTCAACGAGATTGATCTGGGGAGCCTAAATCGGCAACGAACCCAGTTAAGCTGACGCCGCAGTCATAATCACAATTTCAACTTATTATTTACTGCCTACTCTTTTTAACGGCAGGGTATTCATTGTGAAATATAACTTCAACGATGCTGAGATACAACCACAACGTTGCTGAGATATTTCCAAACCTCTGGACCGCAGGTGTCTATGGTGGGGAACGAACGCGCTATTGTCCTTTCCGGGGAGTCACGCGTTCACCACCACATTCAAACGTGTGGCAAAGATCGATAGAAATAGCTGAGAGACAGGCGAAACGAAGGACCCGCATGGTGTGGTGTTGAACGCGTTACTCCCCGGAAAGGACAATAGCGCGTTCGTTCCCCACCATAGACACCTGCGGTCCAGAGTTTTGCAAATATCTCAGCAAGGTTGTGGTTGCATTTCGCTTAGTACCCTGCCGCGAAATTATAGTAGTCAGAGAATAAAAAGGTATAACATTGATGCTGAGATATTTGCAAAACTCTGGACCGCAGGTGTATGCGGTGGGGAACGAACACGCGCTGATGTCCTCTCTCCATATAGTTTCAAAAGCTGTGTTAGGCATTTTTGAAGCCGTCAACTATTCCCTGCAGGCGATCATTTGTTCTTAGTATTGTGTGATTGGGCACATGTAGCGTTGTGGCTAGGGGCGGGCCTCCAGTGCATGTGTGGTCGTGGTTTCGAACCTGCACCGCTGGCCCACCAAGCCTTCCATCCCTCCGGGGTCGGCAACTTGGTACCAGACCCGTCTGAGAGGTTAGCAGCACTGATTTGATAAATCTATAGGCCACTGCGAGTCTTTGTATGGGCCAGATTTGCGTTCAGTCATTCTAGCAACTCCTAAAGAAGTCCAGTGCATGACGCTTTCTTAAATTATTGTTCAATGCAGACGGCTTTATTCTTTATCCTTTCATTGATGTGATTCCATTCAGTGGTCTGTCTCTGGCTGGAATTCTTATAAAAATATCGAGGTTCTCAATTTTGGTTAGTTTTCTGGAGATGAACCACTAGCTGTACATCGAAGTTTGGTAATCAGGACCGCCACCTTACCACGAGAAGTCGATACATCACTGAGGAAGTCGTGACGAGATTCCCCAATATTATGTCGCCAACTGATGCCATCCACGTCTCTCCTTTTATGACCCTTGCTCTGCTTACAGTTAGGGATTTAGAAAGATCGGATCGTTTATTTCATATGTAGAACTCTTGTTAATACTCGCACTAATACTGTTTTTATTGCTAAAAACCAGTCAGCCGAGCACTTCAAAATAATGCTCTATTACGTTTCCTATTTGTTTTCTTTATTTTAGTAGACTTTTACGGTCATGTGCCATCTCACATGAGTAAATGGTCTTTTGTGAATGTACAAATAAGGTGAGATTCATGAACACGTCATAGTAACCCAAGCTGAATTCAAGGTTTTCACTTTTCTGATCAGTCAAAACTAAATCTAAACCAGTACAAACCAATACGAGCTTTCGGTTGTCTTGTGGGCAAAAAATGATAAAAATAAGAACCACGTACCAAAAGTGTGAAGCTCATCGCATCCTTGATCGAGCGGAACCAACGAACTGGCTCTGGCACGCACGACAACTAAATGAAGAGTCCGCTTTTGCTGGCTTTACTTCGTTATTCACGATCTAGATGGAAGCCATACATAATTTTCAAACTCTTTCTTGTTTGAACTTGAAGCGCCGAATCCAATAAAGCCGTCAAAATTCCTTTTACTACTGCGCGAATGTTTTCTCCCGAAAAGGTTTTCCTGGCAAGATTTCTGAGGGCTCACTGACGAGAAAGGTCGAGTATAATTCGTTTTTCAGCGATGTTCTCTGTCTCTGCTGTCGCTTGTGAATAAAAGTCAGCTGGTCGGCGATAGCCACATATGATGCAGCTTTTGGTGCCTTTCATCTATTTCATCGTAGTAGTTCTCTATTGTAATCATTTCTTCAGCATTCAAAAGCGTATTGATGGTGATCAGTCTATGAAAAACGAGGAAATCGTAGTACATTTTTTATGCGATTTTCATTTCGTACAGTGTTTCGGTGTATCTTCTGATGTACAAAGCAGAAGAATACTATCACTATCGCACACAGAGTACACATACAATACAACGGTAGCTGACGTTTCGGCAGTATCGCCTTCTGGCTACCGCTGTGTTGTACGTGTTCGATGTTTATGGATGTAAACGTGTGCTGAACAACAAGCTCGCAATTGTTGAAGAGGAAAAGAACACATTTATAATCCAACGCAGAGGTTAATAAAAAACCGATCTCGGGAACTACCACTAACGACTTTCGTTGAGCCTTGGCATCGTTGAGGAATATCTTTGTTTTCTGATAAGCTTACATGGGGTGGTTACAAATCCTTGTTATGGCTAACGTTTTGATGGTTTCGCCTTCATCATAGTCACAATGATTCAAATCGAGTGTTCACAAGAGGTTTTTTTTTCTGCTTTGTTGAAGTTCGTAGCTGTCCCACTGTGTCGGCTGGAATACAATGGATCACTTCATTGATGAAGTAGCTCCAACCAGCACCGCCGTTTTGTATACGTCCGTAGCAGCGCTGAGGTGACTTGGTCTCATCCAGCAGTTTCTCGAGGCACAGGGCGGTTCTTGGTCAATATCCAACCGGAATTATTTGTTTCCTTAGTATCAATCCATCCTGTAGCGGTAGGACTAGCATTAGCTGACACTTACCGGAGCTATAAGGTCAATAGTCATTTTCATTGAACCGTGGCACGGTTAAACAATGTTTATAACTCGAAAGACCGATTTTCTATGAAGCTCGGCATAGATAGTTGATTTATTTATCTATATGATCTCGATCTTCTTAAGCTCACGCGAGGTTGGTACAGGTCTTTCGGTGTCGTTGTTTTTGATGTTGTTGGTCGATGGCTGACGTTTCGGCGACTTCGCCTTTCTCAGAGCCACGATGTTACGTGTGGGACTGTGGGAAAAAAATGTCTTGCTTTACTCGTCTATTTCACTCATGCGGTGCTTCACTGTATTCACTTCGTTTCGAGGCGACCACTACGAGGTCATCATCTGAGAAAGAAATTACTTCTGCGGACACTGGATTCAAATTGTTGTGGTTGTGATGAAGACAAAGCCGCTAGAACATTAGCCATAATAAGGGTATGCGACAACTTTCTGTAAACTTCAATAAAGCGTTTCTAATTGATAAATTGTCAAGGAAATTTGTCGCAAACTTTTGCATCTTCCATTGCACAATCAAATATGCCATAATAAATATTGATTACCTTATTTTACTTGCTGCTTGCCGATTCTGCCGATGGCAGCGTTAGGTAGAAAACTAGCTGAGAGAGGCGCAGAGCAAGCGCCGACCTCTATGGCGAAATGTGGAATGCGCGAGCCCCGGGAGGGGGAAGTCGTGGTTCGATCTGACCTGGGGTCCAAGTTTTGCGGATATCTCAGCATCGTTGTGGTTGTAATTCACGTCATACACTGCCATGGAAAATTGTAGTAGGGAGAAAATATAAAGTTAACCTTATTTCGTTTTTTTCAGCTTTGCCTTGCGAAAGCGTGGTGATCCATCCAAAACGAGTTTACGAAATCCAAGCAGAAGAAGGCTGCTTCAGCAGCCTTCCAAATATTGCTGAAGCCGTCGTAGAAAAACAAAAATTGTATGTCATCACTTTTGATTTCTTTTTCAATTTTTTTGGCCATTAATTTATCCTAACCCTATCATATTTTGCTGAGCTTTCGAATTTTTCTGTTTGCTTGGTCAATTTTGTAAATATCTTAGGCCTTACCTAAAAATTGCTTATATGTTATTTCTGGAAATTTCGCATCGTTTGAAATAGGTTTTTTTGCCGTTTTTTCTACTTCCCATTTCCTTGGTCCACTGTATGTTCCTCTTATAGTGCTTCTAATGAAGAGCTTAATTTCACTGGTGATGTCGACTACGCCTCACGCTTGAAGAGACCAGAGACGGGTGATTTGAAGGCGATAAGACAAGAACACGAATGCTGCGAATTCAAGCATATGGCAAAGAGGAAGGCTCGAACGGTGGAGTTCTTACTTTTCTACTTAGCAAACAGCTAAAGCACTTTTCTTTCCTCCTCCCTTCAATTTAGCTTTTAGTTCTAAATTTGATTTTTTTTTGCAAATTTTTAATTTTCTTTTAATTTTAAAGGTCCTTTAATGTGTTGACATTTCAAGCACATTCAACAGAGAAATGAGACGAAAAACTCGAGAGATTTCTTTTCGTTCATACCCTTCAATAGCGCTTTCATATATTATGGTTCCATCAAATAATTGGTTTGTTTCCTTTCCTTATATCTGTCATCACTGAAAAACCTTTACGTTTGCACTTCATTCGGCTACCGCGTAAGGATTTGGTCTCACTCATAGCTGTCAATCGATGCTGTTTAAGTCGAATCGCCTTGAAAACCTGCGAGGATTCTTCCTATACCATGCTCAGGTGTTCACTTTAGGCTATTTCTGATCTTTCTTAATTAAAGCGAGCGGATACGTCTGCTTGGGCTAAGAAGAATTCGAACCGACCCATCATCAGTTGCGCGGCATTTCTAACTGTCGCGCTTCTCGCACTGTAATATGTTGTTAAGTTCATTTGATTTCTGCAGTAACCCTGAAAGTTTCACAAACTCGCTCGTTTCACTTTTCAGGCTGCGGAATTACAAATCACAGAGTCTCCAGTCAAACATCATTATCAAATTGGTCTCCACGTAGGTGTCATTGAAATGAAGGGCAACAGCAGCCCCTCGTCCCGTTTTATTTCAGTGCTTTACCGAACCATTTGAAAGGTCTTTCCAAAAAGATTTGCCTCTGATTGAGTAAGCATAGGGTCATTTTCAGCATTGTACATGATCGGTTAAAAGGTTTATTTTGTTGGTTAATGCATTGGTTTTTATACATTGATAAGGGCGCGCTTGGCGCATTGGTTAGAGGCCCCGTTCAACACACACGTGGAATCGATCTCCGCGTCCATGGCTCACCAGGAATTCCGTTTCTCCGGGGTCGGCAAATTGGTACCAAACTTGTCTTGGAGGATAGCAGCACTAGCTCGGTACATCGGTAGGTCACCGCGGGTCGCTGTAAAGGCCAGATATGCATTCAATCACCTCTAAACAATGCTTAATGAAGTCAATTGCATGGCGCATCCTTCAGGGATTGATCGAGGCCGAAAGTTTTACCTTTTATCCTTTTTATATTGTTTTTGAAGTTACTCCAATTTTTTTTTAATCCGTATGTAATGCTGATATATTTGCAAAACTCCGGACCGCAGGTGTATGCGGTGGAGAACGAACACGCACTGCTGTCCTTACCGGGAAGCAGCACACTTCACCACCACACCATCCGGATCTTTTTTTAATATCAAATTTAAAGGAAAACCTAATCGCACAAGTTTTAAGTTAATAACTAACCAGCGAAAATGTTATACAACCGTGGTTTTTATCAATTTTTAGTGAAACATTCACAAAACTGAAATTACTGCCTAACAAATGAAATGTCTTCCATACATATGTGTCGTGTTTCATCATGTAAGCTTTCCATCCTCAGTGTAATCCAGCCATATTTGGGCTATATTCATATTCAAAGCAATTACGAAAAGAAAAGCTTCGTTTCTAATTCAATTTTGCGCCATTTAAAAGTTGTGATGCTGTATATTCCAGAAACACAGGGATTCCTTATGCGCTCCACTCTTCAGATCCGAGGCCAGCGCCAAAGAGAATATGATACATCGCTAGAGAACTGAGTAGATGCAATTCCTTGCAATGTTAGTTCATACTATGCTTATATCAGCCACGCTGAAGATGCATAAACATGTGCGATGATGAGGCAGATTTTAGTAAACCATCAGGTGTCGTGTAAATATAGTCGTGCCTTACATCGTAGCACTCATCATCTCCTTACACAGTGCTTCCATTGATGTTGTTGTGATAATCATTGATAGTTATTCATCAGTTATATCAGATATTTAATGAATCGCAAGGATAGGAGAAAGTTGTTCCTATGATTTCTTGCTAATTGATATTTTTATAATATAAAAATTGGACCATAGCACCTTTCTGATTTTCTCCTTATTCTCCTAAGGTTAGTATTGTGTAGCATTGTGATTCGTTCGTTCATCGTCGTTCTTAAGTCACAAAGTCAACACAAACATCAGTCTTCTGGACTGTTTGCGTTGGTTTCGATAAGGAACGACGAAATGGGTCATTATTACCCGTGTTGTTTATTATCTTATACCTTTACAGCCTGCCCCAAAACTACGCCTCAGCGCTGAAGTGTTACCGTATGTTCCCGTAAGACGTGTTTGCTCAGGAGCAACATGTTTTAGGTTATTTTGTTTGATTGCTTTGATACGTTATCAGCTTTCCCAAATTGTTGTCATTGTTTACAAGATGATCTTCATCTTATTTTTTTCTGGGAAATTATCCGATTATCGCAAATACGGGGCTAATCACCTAGTTTTCCTTTTTTTTTACTAGCAGTCTCTCACTCATCGTTCTAGTGGACAAGTTGTTGTACAATTTAAATTTGTTGAAAAATGAAACCCTTAATAATGAAGACTGTGGTTTGTAAGCTCGACAATAAATCGTAAAACTAATGCAAATTTGAACTTGAAAAAAAGTTCCCAATAGAATGCTAAGGAATCAGGTTCCTCTTCATTGCTTCCCTGTCACAAAAATTCTTTTTTAATAGATTCATGTCAGTGGTAAAACAGTGCCATGAAATAGTTCACTACATTCTTGATGAGCAAATACGGGATGGTACTTCATTCTTTATTGAGAGTAATGCTGACGTTTCGGCAGATTTAGCTTTCAATCTAATCGACCAAACACCTCCATAACCAAGCAAAGAAAACGCTAAACGAAGATTTCACTCACACTGAGCCCAGCTTTGCACATTCACCGCTTTCTATGAGGCACTGAGTATGTAGCGTGAATGCCTAGCTCACAGAATTCACATGGAAGCATAATGTGCCCCTCCCGCCAGAATAACAGATTTATATACTGTCCAATATCACGCGTGATAATGAGGCATTCTTTCCCGCGGTTCATTTTAGGATTTCTGGAATTAATCCAAAACGCTTCAAGAGTTTGCGCGCTTTTGTTCTCGATTCTCGTGTGAGGATCGTGGCACGCACTTCAAAGTCCTCCCCGTTATGTCTCTGAGTCCGATGCGTGCCTAGTGGAGTATTCGGTTTACGTTTACAGGAGCACACCTTACAGGAGATCAGATAAACCATACCCGAGCTCATGTAATCACCGTCTCTACCACTGGGGCAAATTATGCAATTTTGAGCTGCACATAGACGGTCATATAGGCGGTTATGAACTAGCTGGCGCTTAAGATTACTCGGTGGTATTTCAACTACGTTCACCGAATTCTCTAAGCCCGCCCTTCTTAAGCAGCGTTTTATAGCTGTACTTATATCATTTGAGATGAAGTGTAGGATAAACGGGACCCTTCTATCGCTAGAGTTGTCGTTTGGAGGCCTACGATTTCCTCTACACCTATCCCAAGCTACAGTTTCGTAGCCATTAGAAATGGCCGTTTGCCGCGCAAAGTTCTGGGACTCCTCTTTCTGCTCCCTTCCCGTGCACACGTTGGTTGCTGTTCGAAACATGTTTCTTATAAGCGCCCTTTTCGTGTGAGAGGGTGATAGAAGAGGTAATGAACCTGGATGTTTTACTACTTGGCTTTCGATACCACTTCGTAGTGTAGCCGTTTTCTGATAGGTTAATTTGCACGTTCAGAAATGGAAGCCAGTTTTTTTTTGGTTTTTCTTGAGTGAATTTAATATACTCTGACTGTTCGTTCAGCAACTCGAAACATCTGTCAATTTCCTCTTGTGTTGAACAAATGACCAAACAGTCATCTATATATCCACAGTAGAGTAACGGCTCGAGGTCGATTACTGGTGCTTCCACCTTAGACATGAATGCAATGGCAAGGCTTGGTGCCAGTCGTTGTCCCATTGCCAGCCCTCTCATTTGTGCTTAATACCTCTCGAAACATCTGAAGATTGAGCAGTTTAAGAACTCTTTTAGGAGTGTCATCAACTGCTGAATCGGAAAACCATACATGTTTATTGCTTCTTCGCGTTGTATAAGGAGCTCGAGGATGGCTTGCATAGCGGAGTCATTCGACACGTTTGTATAAAGGGCGGTAACGTCGAAGGACTTCGTCACGCACGCACTGCTGAGCTGCGCAATACGTAGACGATCCAGAAACATCTGGATATTCAAATAACCGTCTATGTGCAACGCAAAATTGCACAATTTGCTCTAGTAGTAGAGACGGTGTTTGCATGAGTTCGGGTATAGTTTATCTGATCTCCTGTATGGCGTGCGGAGACGAACACATTGGCGAAACGGGCAGACCCCTTTGTGTCCGCATAAAAGGATACCTAGCCGGCAAACATAAACCAAACACCCCATTAGGCACGCATCGGACCCAGAGACATAACGGGGAGGACTTTGAAGTACGTGCCACGATCCTCACACGAGAATCGAGATCAAAAGCGCCCAAACTCTTGAGGTGTTTTGGATTAATTCCAGAAATCCTAAAATGAACCGCAGGAAAGAATGCCTCATTATCACGCCTGATATTGTACAGTATACAAACCTGTTATTCTGATGGGAGAGGCACATTTCAATTCCATGTGAATTCTGTGAGGTTGGTCTTCGCGCTACATACTCAGTGAAGGCCTTATAGCAATTATTCCCAGAATAGTTTCTATTTCTTTCTATATATATTTGTATCTTTCTACTACTGTATGTTCCAGTAGTAAGCATCATATCCACTGTTTTTCAAGTTGCCTAGCAAATGTCGAAGTACGTAGATATTTCGATCCCATCCTTAGAAACTTCGATCGCTATAAACACTCTTGTTATGCAAACCTATTTTTGCAGTCTGAACTCGTTGTTTGTTATTACTGTCCAAAAGTCATCGTGCGTACAATAAGAAGAAGGGTATGAGGATGTTTGCGAAAGCAGTCTTCCTCCAGCTGATCTCTGGTTTTCAGAGGACTTGGAAACGGTAGCCGACGAATGTTTTCGGTAAAGTTGCTGGAC